CGGCCGCCGCTGGGGTAGATGGTGCAGACCCCCCAGCTGGAGCCGCGGCCTTTGTTCTCACACGAGTGCCCACCATTCTGCCTTGAGGGTCAGGGAGGATGAGTGCCCTTGACCTGTGCCCAGTTGCTGGGTTATGTGTATGCCGAGTCCCCCACTTGGCCTGCGGAATGCCTCTCCTTCGAAGAGGTGCCCTCCCTGCACGCCCTTCCATGCGAACACTTACCTTTCATGCTAAACTTTGTTTCTTGGATTATCAACACTGAGGTGGCAATCCTAATTAAAAAGAAGCTGCTGTCTCATGGTGATTGCATTTTCAGACTAAAGTGTGGCAAGAACAGCTCAAAACTTCATCCTCATTCTCACCAGACCATACTTTACTCTGATATGTCAGAACACATCTATATTGGCTCATTTCTAATTATTTTCTAGCCTTGGAGAAAATATATCTAACTCACACCATCTGAATATAAATTGCACTTTTAACTATATAAGGAAGCCTGTTGTCTATAAAACTTGAATCTATTGGCTGGGCAACAAACTCCATGAGTTCCCCCTCTTTTTGGCCAAAAGCAAAGCTAGTGCTAGCAGGTAGAAATCCCAAGGTCAGCCAGCCTTGCTATGAAGTTTCAGGATCCAGCTGAGGAGTTCACCAGTCTGCATTACACCAAGCCAGGCCTCAGACTGATGGCACGAGGACACAGCTCTGTACTCTGTCTTGCCTTGTTGTGTTGGAAACACACGTGGAATTTGGACCAAAAAGAATAGTGGAGGATGTGAATTGACTCAGACAAAGTCTAACGTGGTTAGGAAAAGCAAAAAACACTCCTCAGTTGTATGTGTATACTTGCAGTAAAGGGAAAACCACTTCCTAACCCCAAGCCTCTGAGTGAGAGAGATGGTGCTTTGTGTGTCCTGCAATACCATCAACAATGTGCTTCACTCCAGCGCAGAAACCAGAAATCCCAGTGGGTGTCTGATCCTTCAGTGATGTAAAATCCTCTTGCCACTCTGAGAAAAAAGAACAGCTTGGCTTGGAACATCTTGGTTTCTGTACAGAGTTGGGAAGGATGATTGCTGATTGCCACATTATGTTTTGCAGCTATTGTCCAAGGAGACACACTGGAAGAAATCTACAACCAAGTGAAACAGATCATAGAGGAACAGTCTGGGCCTTACATCTGGGTTCCAGCAAAGGAAAAATTATGAAAACAGATTTTTATTTTTCATTTTTCTAACTGACATCACCTGCTACATCTGACGACTCTAAGCCCTTCCAGTGGAGCCTGCCTCTAGTTCTTTCCAGCGTGGTTCATACCCTAACCATCACATTCTGCAGTTCCCATAATGCTTTACATTTGGTGTCTCTCTTAGTTTAAATAATTTGTATTATTGTGTGTTGTTGGTTTGCCATTTTTCAAACATGACAGTGGAATGGCCTGACCAGCTGTTAGTTTGGGGTGGGGGTGGGAGGGAATTGCTTGGTAAAATTCCTTAATGTTTAAGGGAAAGTAACTTTCAAAGATTTTTCAAAAAAGCTTTATAGACATTCTTTTAAAATTTCCTAACAATTGAAAGAAAAGTTGTATTCAAGGAAGTTGTAAATCATGAGTAACTTTGCACGCTTAACTTTAATAGCATGGTTTGGTCAGGGCAATCAATTGCAGGTTTTATTTTCTGAGTTAAATTCTATTCTTACAGTATTTTTTCTTTCTTTCCAGGCAGTTAGAGAGAAACTTTCAAATTTTGAGTTAACATTTTCATTAACTCCCAATTACTCCTTAAGGGATATTCATTTTCATAATTTCATATGGATATTCTTATAATCTATTTTTTCATTTTTTGCCAATAAAATTGCTAGGGACAAAGATGTGTAATGTTTTTAATCTTCCTCGTGAAACACTATTTATAGTGTCTTAGAGAAATTGTTTATAGATAATGGTCATCACACTTTTTGAGCCTAAAATATGTTTAGGTGTTAGGAAACCTTGTATTTTTCAGAGGAATGCCAAATTTCCATTGGCAGTAATACAGAAGACAGCTGCAGAGATGGTCATTAGGGCAATGAGAGAGTGATTCGTAGCCTAAAAATGTGTGTGTTCTTAGGGGTCAGATTTTAATGAATATTTTACCCACAATAACTGCCTATTTTGTTATAATAAATATATATATATTAAACTTTCTTTAACTAAACTCTGTAACTATGGGAATTATTTTCTTTACATAGTTGCGCACACGTATAAATATATATATAAAAAATATATATTTTTCTTTTACCACCTACTCCTAGGTTTTTGTTTTGAATAAAAATACAAATTAGAATTTACCTTCCTTAATCACAAGAAATCAAACGGGCTATGGTGGCTGGGCATAAAGTCCAGGGAATATTAGTTACAGGAAAAAAAAAAAAAAAACGTGCAAGTTCTCCTCTTTTCTACGGGATTTCAGGTGTTTGTCTTCCCCGCCCACCCCTTGTAATATGCATGTCTTAACCAAAGGGAGAATTCAGAGTCAACAACACATTTGATTTTTCTGTACGTGTTCATCTCGGATTGCATAGGCACAAGATCTTCCATTTGCAATGCACAAACTTCTGTGCCGAATGTTATAAATATGTTGTACCAAAACATGGAACTACCTTCAGTAACAAAATTCTAATTCCCGTATTACTTGGTACCTGCCATTGCTTATTTGAAACTGATTGTTTATAAGAGGGATGTACTTATGGCAGTCACGGGACAGTCACACAACCAAATTAGCTTTGGTTTGTAAAGAATTATCAACACTATCCATTCCATTTGTTAGAAAGAGGAGAACAGCTAATAAACTTTATTGTACAATATATTTGTCAAGTGTGTTTTTAATCAAAAGAAATACAGATGTTGTAGCATTTGAAAATAATTGGCTCAGACTGTAAATGAAAATAATGTGTTAGAGGAACACTGGTGACCAGAGTGGGGCCAGTGAAGTTATTGCGTTAAATGCAGGTTTAAATTCGGGACACAAATATTGCTGGTGTTATGTGGCATGCTTGTAAGACTTACAGTAAGTGTAAGCTGCTGGTGTAGGGCCCAAAATAGTTTTTGTATTTCTAGATTTGTGAAGTAGATGTGCTGTCTTTCTTAGACTCCTTCTGTCTATGGAAGTGCAAAGTTTAGAAGATTGATGCAACTTTTGATAAATAATGTTACAAATTTTTAAAGGAGCTAAAAATCTACTATAGTCTACCTCTTTGAAAGTCACTGATTATTTGAGGTGTATGGTGAGACATCTTAAAACAGACCAACTTTTAGATCCTTATATTTTTTTATCTCAGCTATCAAATCTGCAAACAAAAATAATGTCTGAGATCTCTATACTGTATATATTTTAATTTTTCCTACCTCTTTTTTTTTTTAACCCATCAGAAAAAGAGTTATAGTTCCTGTTCAGCTGAGTAGATATGTGAGGAATTACTCTTTCATATATTCGAATGTCTGAATAACTTCCACAGAACTTTTCTCCCAGGAATTTGTCCTGTACTAGCTAGGTGTCACTGAATACTACACTTAGACTGAAGTCTATAGTACTTACCTTGCGTGGTTGTCATGCTGGAGTGAAAACCAGTCTCGGCTCAAGAAAACCCAAAGGACTCTGGGGTATCTTCTTTGCATTTTTGGTTTTGTTTGTTTCAGATGTTGCTCTTGAGCCCTGGCAGAAAAGTTGATTCTGGCAGCCCTGATGCTCCTAGTTGACTTGTTTTATCTTGTAATTTTTAGGGTTTTGCATTAATTGCTGTTTCTCTGGATCGCATTTTTCCAGTATTGGGTGCTGATGTGTCTTTGATTCTTGGGTACACTTTACTTTCTGTATTTTAAAGATACATTTTACAATACGTGTACTTTTCTTAAGGCTTCCAATTTAACAACTAGAGTAATTAGGAAATCCAAATGGTGTTACATTGATGCATTACTACCCTACCTTTGCTGGCCCAGTGAAGGCACTATGGGTTTTCTTCCCCACCTGCTAACGCAACTATTTGTAACTGCTATACAGAAGCGTGCTTGATGAAGTATTTGCTGCTCTCTGTTATTATTTTAAGCTATATTACATTAATCATTTCCTTTGCAGGCATTTTTGCTAAATTATGCTGAAAATTAGGTTAAGAAATTTAATTTCTCCTTAAAGCATAGATATTCATAGAATTATGAATAAAATAGGAAAATGAGCTAAATTATCATGAACTGTGCTTGTGTGATGGTTTAGAGGGGGTTGCATTCAGAGTAGGCCTCCTGTATGAAAAGGCTGCTCCTCTACCTTCTGAACTTGCCCCGTAGAGGATCAGAAGAACCACAGGAGAGGCCTGGTACGGAATTCACTTCTTAACTAATCTTGCCTTTGCAGTCTTAAGCAACTGGTGCTAGGACTGTGCATCTATATGTAAGCCTTGCTGCAAGCATCAGAGGGCTTGAGAGGTTAATCTGGCCAGTGGGAAGGGCACAGGAGGGATCCGAATAATGGATCCTTCCAGAAATTTGGTGGTGCCAGGTCATTCTTCAGCACTTTAGACTACAAAGGGACAACTAATTCCAGATGGTCTAGGTAGCTAGAATCAGACTTCAGCCATAAGGTTTTGTTTAAGAAGGAGGTCTGGAGGGGTCATGCTCTGTTTTTTGAAGTTCTACACTTGAAATAGCAGTTAATTGACTTAAACTCAGCTGTTGTCTTACAGGTGCTAGTAGGTGTTAAAGCTAGCAGCCTGGCCAAATTGCAGTCAAGTAGCTAAGTAACTAACTCCTGAAAGCATCTGTGCAACATTACTAGATGTATAGACTATCTGAAGGATGTATACAGTTGTGTTGTTCGTGCATGCTCTCAGAAGATGGTAAAGATGTGTGCATGGGGATTCATGGCGGCACACGTTCTTTTTCTGGTAGCTGGGTGCTGAGCTGAGAAATGGCAGTCAGCAGAGCAAAGCAGCATTAAATGGCTTTTATCTAAACAAAGTGCTACAGGCAGCTGGGGTACATTGACTAATGAGAAATAAAGAAAAGGGCAGCACAAATGAGTGTTGCTCTGTGAAAGCTACTCTAAAAGTCACAGCAGCTTTTAACAGAGCTATTGTCAGCAGAGTTTTTACTCTTTCTGGGAGAGACAAGCCTTCTTGGGCCTCCTCTAGAACCTTAAAAAAAAAATCAAACTACTTCAGCTATTTCATAGCAGTTGCTATTAAATTTCAGGAGATGTGCACTTAGCACCCACTGAGCCACCTGCAGAGTGTATAGCCTTCACTACTGTAAAAGCCTGGGTTTCTTGTTATGGCTTTACGGGATTCATGACAGTGCTGAGAATGTGGCAAAAAAAGTCACCATCAGCTCTGTCAGAGAAAGCGCTTGGCTTGAATCTACTTTTGCTTCCTGAGCCCCAGCACATAGGGAATACATAGAACTCAGACTTAAAATGAGGATTTCTTTACACAGCCCTGCCTTACCCCTATGAGTTGGTGTGTAGCTGTTTATCTAAGTCTATAGGTGGTGCTAAAGCCGTAACAACCTCATTGGTGCCTCAGATATTTTGCAATTTCCTGGTCTGATTTTTTTTACAAGTGTAGAGGCGGTGTGAAGAGAGGTAGGCTTTTTTTTCCTGTAGTCATTATAAGGTGACGTGTGCCAAGGTAAGCAAGATAAATTGTTGAACAAAGTGCGCCTGCAATTGAATGCTGCTGATTTTCACCAAGGAGCAGGCTGGGGAGAGCACACTTGCAGGAGCCTTGATCTCTGGGGGTTCTGAAGGCTGGAAAAAGCACAAATACCAAAATTTTCACCATGAAGAGTTCCAGAAATGTCTTCTATCTTCTCTTCTTTCGTGCTGGTAAGTGCCCTCCAAAAACTTCTGCTGTGGCATGGTGTCTTTGGGGTTGACTTGTATGTGATGTGAGAGAGCAGAAGGAAACTAGAACCATTTCAGAACCAATCTCATATGGCCAGGAAAAGGAATAGGAAGAAATAATAGAAAAAATAGAAAAGGAGTAGAAAAATCTGTATTGAACACCATGTATGTGTTTTCACTCATTGGTGTCAAATGTTGTATTTCCTCAGCACTGAATCTACTTCTTTTGGTTCAGTGGTGTCTGTTTCTCACAAGTGTGAACAGTTCTATGACACTTATTTTGTAAAAATAGAAATAATTGCCTTATTCCACTTATGTTCTGTGCGACATGTTGGCATTCTCCTGGCACTCCCAAATTCTAATGGTGAATGCTTTTAATTTCACCGGAGGTGTAGATGCTGTTTCTGAAGCACTCCGCAGTTCTTCAAAAAGAAATGATCCTAGTATATTCTTTTTTTTTTTACATTGCTTCTGTTGAAAGCCCTTGGCAGTGTATT